AGACCTTGTTTGATTCGAGTTCCATGGCTATCTCCGGCAAGCCATGTCTGTTCGAGCCTGGCCTCGATTCCTCCTATTTAGATCAACGACGATCTAAGTCTTTCTCAGCGTTTGGGTTCCTCTGAAACCCTAGCTTTTGAGGTTCTTCTGATTTCCTTAGATCTGTTCTAGATCCATATTTTCCCTAAACTTTTAAAACGATTTCTTGACATTTCTTTTAAAACTATGCTTTCAAAACCTTTATTTCTTCCGATCTAGGGTTTTTGAGTTATGTTTCTCTGATTTTGTTTTTTCTCTTATATGTTTCTCTGATTTTCTTTTTCTTTGTGTGTTTCTTCCACTATGTTGCTTCTACTATGTTTTTTGTGTGTTTCGTCTCCCTTATTTACTCCTACTGTGTTCTTGTTAAGTTTTTTTTCACCATGTTCTTATTTGTTTTTTCTACTAGTTCTTCTATTGGTTTCGCATGTTATTCTTTTACTATGCCTATCATGAGTTCCTACAACTAAAAGATCTTGTTAAAGGTCTCAGTTCCTTTCTGAAACCTCTGAACCTATTTCAATTAGTATCTTCTCCCTTAATCACTTTCCCTTTCGTCTCTGCACTCGGTTAATGGCAAAAACCCTAAATTTGGGGGTTCATCCGAGTTTTAGACCTTTGGCTATGTGATTTGCTTGCTCTTCATCTGTGAACTTGTTTGATTTCAGAAAACCTAACTTTTTTGGAACTATTTCAAGTTTTCTGAATTTGTTAACTGAGTCTTGAAATCTCTCTTTCTTTAAGCGATTCTGATTTTTCTACTAAAACTCTTCTAAGGTCCTTATACTTGACCCTTTGTATGCTATTTGATATTATCTCTTCTAACCTATGTGACTACCTACTGATTTTGTAATGGCATGACGTTTTCTTTGCACTAAATTCAACCTGGCATATTTGTGTACTCTTTATATGTGCTGAACTTCCCTCTAAAAATGGTTTTGATGGATTTCAGACTTCCCTTTTATAAGTTTGATTGATTTATTTCCTTTTTTGCTGATTTCCCTATTACTTGATTTGAGTCGAAAGCTTTCCTTAGCCCATCATGAGACAGTAATTTTAAACCTCTGACCCCTTGATTTACTATATACCGATTGATCCTTATCTTATTTGTTTTAGCCGCGTATTTCAAAATTCTTCCCTTAATTAAAACTCCTATGTATTTACCCCTAATTGCCTACTTTGCACATGATGTTTATTTGATTTCTTTCCTTTAATTAGTTTTACCGTTTGAATCTGAATTCCTTAATTAAATAAAGTCTTGTATTGATTGATTTTTAATTGATAACCAGTTCCTTAATTGTTTTGTTACCATTATTTCTGCCTATTTTCACACTATAAATATCAAATCTTTCATTGACACAAGGACATCAATCCATCACTCGTAGTTTTTCTGAACTTATATTTACACTCAAAGTATTCTCTCTTGTTGTTGTGGACTGTTTACAAGACCTACTGCCTGCTTTTCTCTATTTACGTCTTTGAAACTGGTATGTCTTGATTTAAGATTTCAACTTCACAAAAATGTGTTTATATATTACTTTTTGTATCTCTGTCTACTTACTGCTTCTGTGTAGTTCAACACTTGCTCTAGCATATTGATTTCTTTCTGCCTACTCTATTATGAATCCCAAACGTCTGCCCCCTTATGTGTTTAAGCTATGGTTTGAGGCATGGCAATACTGCAAGTTATTGTCCATGAATCAAACTTGATCCCTTGGGATCCTATCCTCTAAATAGTTTGTTCTAGCAGGTTTGAGAGTATACTAGCATCCTCCATTGCTCAACATGCTTGAAACCTGCCTTTGCCTAAGCAATAGGCTCTTTACAGTCTCCTTATTCCTTATTCCCCTATGTGTACTTATTTGTAGTTGTTTCCCTCTCCCTTTCCCCTTTCAGAATTCTGTTTCTGCACTTGCATCCTCTCTTAGTCTTTAAGTTCTGCCCCCTTCTTGTGAGCCTTGCCTTGGGACCCTTTGAGCTCCCTCTGAACTTGGACACTTGAGGGCTGGCCTTTCCACACTGCACTTATCCTAATATGATAATACATTTGGGTGTGAGCATTGCCCGGAGTCCCATTGAGGCTCTTAGGGAACTTTGACACATTCAAATGGGACAAAGGCTTTGAATCAAGATCCATTGGAGTTGGTTTACCTGATATTTCAAACATGAAGTCTGAATCAGTCTCTCCTTTGGTTGTACTTTTATATTTTCTGATGCATTTTTTACTTTATTTCGAGCTGTAATAATTTGTAATAAACTCTTGGGGATGGCTAGTGAAAAGGGCGGGTAACTATGTGTGCAAAAGGTAGATACTATGCCTACAGGTCATTCTAAGTGCTACATTCTCACATAGATACCATGTCTATAGGTGTTTTTAAATTCTGCACATTCAAATGCATATAGAAAGCATGCCTATAGGGGATTCTGAATGTCCATTTTCACATAGAAATCATGATCATAGGATTACTACATTCGTATAGATATTATGTCATAGGTTTTAAACAAATGCTGCATCTAGATATCATGCTCATAGGTTTTTCTGCCAGTTAAATACCATGTTTATAGGTTAAAACCAGTCTTATGCATTTAGATATCATGTCTATAAGGCTTTTGCATTTTTTTACCATGTCTACAAAAGGCTTAAAATCAACTACGCGTAGAAAGCATGTCTATAGGAATTCCTAATCGAATCTGAATCACTTCATTCACGTATAGAGCTAAAACCAGTAATAATAAGTAGCATTAGTTGCAGAAATTATAACCTTCGTTAAAACTTGACTTTTCTTTTTGACTACCGTATTCAGTTTATTTATTTCATTGCTTTCTGAATTCAGTAGATGACATGCCCATAGGATCCTTATCCAACACTTAGGAAAGCCTTAGGATAAAGTTATAAACTTAATCAGTTCTATTAACTACAACCAGCAGGCAAGCCTGATTCGGGCTTCTTAACTGAATTATGTAATAAATCTGGCTGCCTCAACCTTTAAGTCCTCTCGTGTTAGTATTTAATCAGGCCCTAAACAGTATGTTTAAGTCATACTAATTACATGTTTCTTTGTTTAAAGGAGGTGTATCTGAGCCTTTTTTGCTTGTTATGTGCTTTCCCCCAATTGATATACATGTTTTGTATGTCGTCTTAGAATTTTGCCTTTGAAATTACAAATAAGCCTAATACCCCTCCCCTTTAGGATTAGTAGTCCTAAATGCCTCTGGGACTGATAGGATTGAGACGGGTAATAGCATGCAATAAGTAAAACGAAACCATCCAGCGCTTTAATACCTTAACGGGGTGGGAAGGGTAGATATGGATATGATGACCACACGATAATGTCACGTGTATCCCCTCATTGAGGAGTGATTACCGGGCATTGTGTGGGGTGATCCATATTATTAATAAACCTAGGACCCTCTTTCCCTTTGTTTCGTCTAAAGATTTCAAACTATGTCTTAAGGAAAATCAGCTTTCTTTTAGTTCTTTCCAACTTTGTTTATTTGTCAACCATTATGTGAAAATCCCTTCTTATCTGAAGTTTCATTTGCTTACATGTCATTTTCACCTAAAGTCACAACAATAGTCTGGTCGGGAACCACACTAGTGGATCTTGGGGGGTGCCTAACACCTTACTCTTGAGATAATTTCAAGCCCTTACCCAATCTTTGGTTACTCAAATCAAAACCCTCTTGGTGTCCTAATTCACCTTATCATTAGGTGGCGACTTTCAATTCAAACCCAAATTCCCAAAAGGGAATGAGTTGCCCTCCCAAATGTCATAAACCTGATTTCGCAAGAAAAAGGGGGCGCGACACACACTTGGTACATTTTTTGTACTGATATCCCTTTTTCCTAAGGACGCTGTGTTTCATACCCGCAAGTCCCGATAGACAGGTTGAGAGTCCTCCAAGTTGGCTATCAGCTCAGCGGAAGATGTTGGTGCACTCCATTTGCTCCAGAGTTGCTTGTTTGGTCAGCATGATTTAGACGTGTATTGTTTGGTATGATGGGGCCCTATCCCGACCTTTATGATAACTATGTAATCTTAGAGGATTGTAGGCAGATGTCATGTATACGGATAATTTTATGGCCTTGTAGGCCTATGTTTTGAGTATTCAAATTATCATGTTAGCTTTATATGCCCATATTTCACATGTGTAAGTTTTTATATCAGGTTGTGTCGTCCTATATTAAGTACTCCTCTATGTTCATTCTGGCTAGCCCATGATGGCCCATTTGGCTCATTTTCCAATAAAAGTACGATAAGAATAATATGTTATGTTGGCACTCGGTTGAGTAAGGTATCGGGTGCCTGTTGTGGCACATAGGTTTGGGTCATGACATGTACAAATAGCATTTAGCAGGTAATTCAACATGTAACACGACCTCTATGGGTCCCAGCAGTACTAATACATAGCCTAAACATGATTTCTAAGATGATTTTCAGTCAAATTTCTATAATTCATGGAGAGCATATAGCTAACAAACAGTTATTCAACTTTACAATTTTATGAATGGACCACGTCACAATTCCCATGGTGCACGCCCACACGCCCGTCACCTAGCATGTGCGTCACCTCTAAAACAATCAACAACAACAACAATGAACCTAGTGTATTCCCACAAATGGGGTCTGGGGAGGGTAGTGTGCACGCAGACCTTACCCCTACCTTTTAAATATAGTGAGGATGTATCTGATTGACCCTCAGCTCAAGGCACACTGGAATCTAAAAACCGAGTAAAATCCTTAAATAACAGAACAAGAATGTAGCAATCTATGTTGCTCAGACTCTCCAAAAATATTGACGGGTGCATGTCGGATCCTCCAAAAGTATTATATTTTTGAGGATCCAACACAGATGCGGCAATATGTTAGAGAGTCCGTGCAACATTGGTGGCAATAACAATAAAAGGCGGGGAAACATATAATGCATACCATTTCCTTAAGATCTTCCCCATGTAAATCCTAAAGAATATCAAGAAACCGATCCAAAAGCAAAGCATCATACTCAAGCAGCTTATCATCCTCAGAAACTTTGCAAGGAACCAATGCCCTTAATTGTGCATCAATTGATGTCAATTACTCCAAATTCCATGTCGCCATTTTCACACTATCAACAACCCCAATAATCTCTTTCCTACAAGTGGACAATTTCTGGGTTTGAAGGGAAGAGATTCGGGTTCTAAAACAATTACATAACATAAAATGCGGGGTTTCATACTCTCAGAACCAGATTTTAAACTATTACTTACCTCAATCCAAGCCTAGACTATATTCTAAATGCCTTTGCCTCTCTAATCGGTCTCCAAACATCCCCAAATCTAGCCACAAGTAGTACAATACAATTAGTACGGGCTAAAGGAATCTATTCTACAAGAAATTATGAATTTATAACTCAAAAATCCAAAATTAGCTCAAACCCGGCCCCCGGGCCCACGTCTCGAAATTCAACAAAAGTTACAAAATCCGAAAGCCCATTCAACCACGAGTCTAATCATACCAAATTTATCAAAATACGACATCAAATCGCCACTCAAAACCCCAAAATCATCTCTCCAAATCTCTAACCTCAAACCCCCAAATTTCACCTAAAAACACACCAATTAGGTCGAAAATCAGCGGGGAAACATAATTATTGAAGAAAAAAAGAACATAAGGAGCTTACCTCAATAATCTTTTCAAAAACCCTATCAATAACCTCCAAAATCCGAGCTCAAAATATTAGAAATGGCAAAGATCTCGAACCTTCGTTTATACAGGTTTTGCCCAGGCTTTTGCGGAAAAAGGGCGCTTAGGCGAAAATCGCTTAATCCAAACTGCCTCCGCACTTGCGACCTTTGATCCGGATCTGCGCTATCACAGGTGTGAAAACACTATGGCACCTGCGACCTCTGTTGGTCTTCACCCTTGCCGCACATGCACTCAGTCTGCCGTACATGCGGCATCGCACCTACGGCTAGTACTCTCGCACGTGCGATTACACCAGCAAAAGACCGAACTTTAGCAATTCCTCAACTTCCACTCCAAGTTTGTCAACCACCCGAAATCAACCCGAGATCCTAGAGAGCTCAACCAAAATATCATCAAGTACCAAAACATCATACGAACTTAGTCTAACCCTCAAATCACCTCAAACAACATCACAAACACGAATTGCACATGTATTCATGCCTAATGAACTTTGAAATTTCCAAATTCTACAAACGACATTGAAACCTATCAAATCACGTCCGATTGACCTTAAATTTTTCACACAAGTCCAAATGATACCACGAACCTACTCCAACTTCTGGAAATCCAACCTGACCATGACATCAAAAAGTCCACTCTCGGTCAAACTTTCCAAAATTCCCACTTTCTCCATTTCATGCCTAATTCTACTACGAACCTCCAAATCACAACCCGACACATGCACCTAAGTCCAAAATACCTAACGAAGCTAACAGAACCAACAAAACTCAAATTTGAGGTCGTTTAGTCATAAGTCAACATCCGATCAACTTTTCTAACTTAAGCTTTCAATTAAGAGATTGTGTGTCTCAATTCACTCTGAAATCTCTCTAGACCTGATCCAACTAACCCGATAAGTCATATAATAACTACAGAGCACAAAAGGAGCAGTAGATAGGGGAATGGGGCTAAAACTCTTGAAACAACCAGCCGGGTTGTTACATTCTCCCTCTATTAAACAAACCTTTGTCCTCGAACAGGTCTAAAAACATACATGGGATCAAAAATAGGTGCGGATATCTACTCCGCATCTTCCACTTGGTCTCCCAAGTAGCATCCTCAACTGGCTGACTGATCGGGTCCAAGCGTACACTATTATTGAGTAGCGAGGGTGGTCGATGCAGTTTTAACCCATCTAGGTCGGGAGCGAATCCACATAGAGTTAATGTTTGGAATTAGGTTTATATATAAACTAGATGTGGGCTTTGAGTTAATTACACTTCCACAAGTTTGGGTTTTATTTCTACTTCTAACTTTACTTTAAAGATTGCAATGATTGAAATTAAGGACAATATTTTTGTTGTTGTTTTTAAGTGTTTAAAGAGACTAGGGTCATGACTTCTACCTATGTGGATATCTAACTGGTAGTAAAATCTAGGCCAAGCTTGATTAGTTGGGATCGTAATATAGTTGTCAATCCGGGTAATCACTCTATATCTCTCAGTAGTTTGAGTGATTTTTCCCTATTTGGCTTTCTCAAGTCCAAATGGGTATTCATACAAATAAAATGACATTAGCTCAAGTCGGGTATTGCTATCTCTAGGTTTAACCCTTTAATTGGGGCTATCAATTTCTTGAGTTCACCCCAATTCCATTGTGTACAGTAAAATCAGAGGGTCCAATTTTCCGTAATTATGATGGCTCGTAAGCATATTTCACAAGGTTCATGACTAGGGTCGAGGTTCACCCTCGAGGGTTATCGACGCTCGACCTCAGGGAAACATAGACCAACAACTATGATGGAAAAGTGGGGAGTTCCCAAGGTGAACAACTAGGGCTGATGAAGTCTAGTGAGCTAAGTTCAGACCTGAATTATGGTGTCAACTAGCTGTCCCATCCCAATATCTTTATAATTAATGCATTTATGCTATGTTGGTATTCCCCCTCCTATATAAAGAGGATCCTTGTTATTTTGTAGGGTTCGGTTGCTCCATACTAACTATACTAGAACATTCTCTCTGCCCTCTAACACATTCCCCTGGTCTCGTTATCTCATTTATTGCTCATATTTATCGTGTTCTATCTATTGTTCTTCATTTATTGATTATTATTGGCCATAAAGAGCCATCATTGATTTGTTTATAACTGTTAGTATCCATCGACCAACTTCGATAGCTCCTAGCCTAGCTTTAGACTCGACCCCGAGGACCTCGAATAGGCAAACTCGAGGTCCCGATTGGCAACGATTCGGTTTGATTAACATCTCATTTTGAAGCTCTTATTTCATTTCTATGTCTTTCACATAGCATCAACTGCCTAATAACTAGCATAAAAATAGATCAGGTATTTTTAGAACCACTGAATCAAATTTAATTGTTATTTCCATTTTCACGGTAAACAGTTTGGCGCTCATCGTGGGGCTAAAAATAATAGTGATTATTTTCTTGCTGGTTTTACTACACAACGCAAGTAATCTTTCTCACTTTCTTGTCCAAGATCATTGATTTCAGGTCAAAATTCCTAAACCAGTAAGTGTTCCCGAAAACAACGGCCTCAAAAACTATGGGAAAGGTGGTACGATTACTCCAGGTATGGGTGTGCCACCACGAAACCCTGAAAACACACCGGAGCTGATTCCCAAGGGGACGACCTCGTACAACGCCCAATGCATTAACGTCGATCCTCATATTAACCAGAGAGCACACCAAGAAACTCAGTGGGAATCTTGGAAGCATCCGACCTAGGAAAAAAAGAGATTACTCGACATGTCATTCATATGATTATCGGGGGGGTCGACATTACCCAAGGACCCGTGATCAAAAGGATAAAAATACCCGCCACAATCGAGGGGCCGATCCGAGATTGCATGACCGAATACACCCTCACATTAAGCAAGGAGGATCTCGAGACCTTCGCAAAACCACACAACGATGCGCTGGTTATTTCATTTCTTTTAAGTAACGTTCAAATTAAATGTGTGCTCGTCGATCCAGGCAGCTCATCCAACGTAATTAGGTCAATGGTAGTAGAACGGCATGGGTTGCTCGATCAAATCATACCCGCCTCCCGAGTCCTCTACGGCTTCAACATGGCCGGCAAAATAACGAAAAGAGAGATTGTCTTCCTGGTTGAGATGTCCGGTATGGTTCAGAATACCAATTTCCACGTCATCATTGGTGATATGAGGTACAACGCATTCCTTGGCAGGCCGTGGATACACAACATGAGAGCGGTGCCATCAACTCTGCACCAGATGAAAAAATTTCCAACAAAAGATGGTATAACAGCCATATATGGAGAACAACATGCGGCAAAAGAAATGTTCGCAGTTTACCAGGAGGCATCGAGCCCCATACACTCCACCTCGGTTGAGTCTAGGAGCATACAGACCCCCGAGGATGATGAAGAAGATTTCCTCGCCCCTCGAACTTTCATTACCCCCAAAGAGTTGGATGCAACAAAATCGACAGTTGAATAACTGGAGCAGGCTGTTTTAATTGAGCATCTCCCATATAGGAAGGTATACCTAGGAATGGGATTAACCCGCGAACTCTGAAAAAAACTTATTCAATTCCTTATTAACAACATCGACTATTTTTCTTGGTCCCATTTAGATATGATAGGAATCCCACTGAAAATAACCACCCACTGATTGAGTGTCGACTCCAGGTTTAAACCGGTGAAGCAAAAAAGAAGACCCCAGTCTAAAGTAAAACATGCATTCATCAAAGACGAGGTAATGAAACTCCTTAAAATAGGGTCTATCAGAGAGATAAAGTATCCCGAATGGTTGGCCAACATAGTGGTAGTGCCCAAAAGGGGAAATAAGTTAAGAATGTGCATATATTATAAAGATTAATAAGGCGTGGCCCAAGGATTCTTTCCCATTGCCTAACATCGATCGTCTGATCGATGCAACGGCCGGCCACGAGATCCTCTCCTTTCTCGATGCCTACTCAGGGTATAACCAAATTTAGATGAACCCCGCGAATAGGGAAAAGACTTCGTTCATCACGAAGTGTGGTACCTACTGTTACAATGTAATGCCCTTCAGGCTGAGAAACATCGGGGCCACGTACCAATGCCTAGTTAATAAAATGTTCGAGCATCAAATAGGCAAATCCATGGAAGTTTATATTGATGACATGCTAGTTAAATCCCTGCACGTAGAGGACCATTTGACACATTTGCAGGAAACATTCGACATCCCTAGAAGTTATAACATGAAGCTTAACTCTAAGAAATATGCCTTCGGAGTGGGTTCGAGCAAATTCGTAGGCTTCATGGTATTGAACAAGGGGATCGAGATCAACCCCGACAAAATCAAGGTCATCGAAGAAATCACAGTGGTAAATAATGTAAAGGCCGTGCAATGGCTAACATGGCGAATAAAGGCTCTAGGCAGATTCATATCAAGGTCGTCGGATATGAGT